AGAAAAGATCGGACACCCTATTTGGAATAAGTAAATTTCTTTTCCTTTCATAGGTAATAACTTTTGACGAAAGCATATTGAAAGTTATGTTTCTGAAGTGGATAATTAATCTAGATGCTCAACCAGAGATGTGAGTTTTGACGAATCAACAGTAAAAACTTTGAAATATAATCAGAAATTGTGGCTGACTATAATGAACAAAGACAGTTGATAACAAGTAATGACACTATGGAAAACATGCCACAATACCATGAAGAGACTACACGTATATAATTTAATTTTGTTTGTATACTAACCTCTGATTGGTTAATATCCAAAAAGGAACACAAATTATTTCTTTATAACCTGGTTTGGTATGGGGACACACACCCCTGACAACCAGCTGAATCATCTGTATCCATACAATCCTCTCATTTCCAGTCCTCGGGATTCATGGAAAATTCCAGATTTAATAAATGTACCTTTAATTTCGATCTTACCACATGTAACCAAACAACATGGCTGCTATGCCTATGTATCAGTTTTTACTTCCCCTCGATTCCCATCACTTCCGTTACTTCCGTTACTATGGTTGTATTATTGAGCGGCAAATTTGAACTAATAAAAAGTAACGAAATTTCGCGGATTATAAAGCGTAAACTGACCCAAACCAGGTTATACTCGAATAATTTGGCCAAGAATTAGAGTCATTCCTAAAATAATCGTTTTCCAAAGGACTTTCCATTCGAGTGTTTGACTTGACGTTGCAAATACTGTATACTCAGTTGATGACCGGAGACACAGAAATGATAGCCAGGCTATTCCTGGTTCTGAGGTTAATGTCGGATTTTAGTATTTAATTTTACTAGGCGGCTCAAATAAAAGATATAAAATTTAAAAACATATCTTTCTTGGAATAGGAAGATGAAATCAATCACAAGCAGTTTAGCCACCTTGTATAGCTTTAACCATATATGGAAATAAAACACAGCGTAAGCTGTAGTGAGTAGAGTAGTGAGTAGAACATCTGTATAGAATGCACTTCTGTATGAATATCATTAAAAAAAAACACAAGAGACTCATGGGCCTTAACGATCACCTGTATACAAATACAATCCTGTAAAGGATCCATAGATAGTCAATCAAGGATCAACAAAATAGTTAGTCTGGTAATCAACAACAACGCTTAAAGTACATGTAGATGTTTTTACTACACTGTATATGCCAGTGAAAGATCACCTGTATGAAATATATGGAGATAACGAACAGTATTCAAGCTCAAAAGTCCATTAAACAATACAAAATAGGAGCAGAGCAAACACTGACCTCTAAACATCAGAGTAGGGATCAGGTGCCATGGAGAAGTGAGCATCCCCTGCCGACAGGTCACACCCGCCGTGTGCTTCTTGTCATGATCGGGAAATAACGGAAAAATCCGTCGACAATTCAGTGTGTAAATAATGGCCTAACAATTAGTATGAAAAACGTCAGTCAGCATTTGACTCAATGATAAATTGTATTTGCTGACAAGGTCATTGTATCGACCATAGAACTTACGAAATGATGACTTTAATCGAGACAGCTGATATTCTTGTTTCGTCAACTTGTTTGTCAATAAATTATATCGTTTTAGAAATTGTACATACGTAGTGTCATTGCACTACCACAACACAACTGTACCTGAGCATGCATAACGGTATACCAATAGTAAAATCAGCACACCCCTCTACTAGGCCCATCTTGGTCTTTGAATAACATTCTATGAAGAAATAGAGGTAATTTTATCTCATTTTTATATGTCTATAATTTACAAGTCTACCTGACCATTAATAAAAATATACTACTACATTTTATATACCAAATTAAGATTTCTTTTATTCAATTGACCTATCAATTATATTGTTAACAATTACTTAATCATAGTTGAATAAAAAGGTGAATAGCATATCTCATAATAGAGTACAAATTTCCTACATAATCAATAGATTCCTTCTAGCAACACACACCTGACTCAATGGTTAAAATCTCACAAATTCGGTAAAACACCACTGATCTTTAGAACTTTGTATTCTGTTTGCCCCTAGATGCCCAGAAAAAGAGAATGATCCCCATCACTACATAATCAATAGAGCCCCACCCTAACACCAAAATCCCTGACCCAGAGGCCACAACTTCACATTTTTAGATTGATTAATTGATTGTATGTTGTTTAACGTCCCATTCGAGAATTTTTCACTCGTATAGAGACATATCACCGTATGCCGGTGAAGGCTTAAAATTTAGATCTATACTCAGTACTCAGGGCCATTGGACAGTAAGGGCTCTTTTTCGTGCCAACGCCTACCGTGACAAGGAACCTCGGTTTTTATGATCTCATCCGATAGACCCGTGACTTTCACTTTCGCTTGCGCTTGGCAAAGAAAATTTCACTACCTATGTTTACATCTTAGGTTTGATGCAGCGCGACGAACGAGAATCGAACCCGGACCTTCCGTTAAAAAAGCGAGCACCCTGCCACTTTCCCACCATGACCAATCACATTTTTAGAAAAAGCACCCTTGCTCATCCTAACAATGCACTTAGTTTGTCTGCTAAATACCCAGGAGCAGAGAAGCTTTTCAAAGAATTAATGCATTTTTACAATATGATCAATAGAGACACACCAGAACCCCTGACCAAGGGGCCATGAATTTCACAATTTTGAAAAAGACATCTTTGTTCAATATAACTATGCACTTCGTTTGCAGCTTAATACTTAGGAATAGAGTAGAAGCTTTCCAAAGAATAATGCATTTTCACTTTATAATCAACTTTATCCCTATCACTGCCCCAAAAGGGTTGTGTTATAGATTTGATCGTGAAATCATAGACCTATTAAAGACAAGGCTTAGAGCAATTATTTGATAAAAGTGTGTTAAGTTTAAGCTCGCAATAAGTGTTTCCATATATGCATTTTGTCAGGGGTATAGTCTTTGTCAGGAAGAAAAATTGACTCGGCTTTAAGATTTCTGGGTTCTGATTGATCTATCCAGGGGAGGAACACTTTGAATTCTGTTTTTCTTTCCTCATCCCTCAGAAGTTCACTAAGGTCAGCTCGGGTGTGATTATGTCATTCCCGGTGGATGGACTTTGAAGAAAAAGTCCGATAAACTCAAATCAGTTAACATAATTTTGGTGGTAGGTCTGATGAATGAAAGTTTGTTATCGAATAAAGTCAATCGCCTCATTATACTCTTTAATATAAACTCAAAGTAATTTAGTTTTCCTTTTTTTTAATTCTAAGAACGGATTTTTCCAGTCTCTATGATTGGATTTTTTTCCAGCTCACCCGAGCCAATACAATAAGGAAGTACAATACCAGGGTGGGGCCACATAACGTTCTAATTTTACATACTAATATATTGGGAATACCTTTCAAATGCCATTGAAAAATAACTTAACTATCATATCGATATATATCGTAAGCATCCTGATTAAGAGCTGATTCTACACTTAGCATACCCAGCAGAGTCATAATGAGGCTACAGCTGGGAAACAAAGGAAGGGTCATGAATCTCTTTCAAAGGAATAACAAACACGATACTCAGTCCTTCTTGAGAACAACTTGACAAAAGTTTGAATACATTGTAAAAATAAAACATAAAGTACTTGTACTTATGAACAAAAAAACATTGTAAAAATAAAAACATAAAGTACTTGTACTTATGAACAAAAATGTTGAAATCAGAACCTTTTGTCTTCATTGAGGTGAAAATCAGATGGTTCTTATCTATAAATTTTCATTTGTTAAAACGAAATTGTAACACACGTGAGCCTTATGGTAGAAGGCCTGTTGAATCACGTTCCAAATATTTTTTTTAATCATTTCCCCTCCAATAATTGAAAATGAGTCTTTTTTTCATTAGTAGGCGAGGAGTCTGTTTAGTTTTTATTACGACGAGACGCTAATCAACGTGGTCTCTATCACACATAAGTAAACAACTAATACCTCGAAAAGTAGACTGAACGATCTATGATGAAAAATGAATCTGAATTTTCCTGGGAGAAAAAGGGGGTGTTCTAATGATTTCCTTGGAGTGTGGTGGGAATTAAAAACATTCCTCATTCATGAATTTCAATTGAGATCAGTTAGAAATATGTCTTAATATTCATACATCTAAATATTTATTCTTCAAAAACGAACCCTTTTACGCGGCGCTCCTGGAACTCTTGAATCAGAAATAGCCGTATATCATTTATTGATGGAATTGAATTTTCCAGGTGGCAGTTAATACAACAAACATATCCCAAATGCAAAACATTTACATTCAGTGAATCTTGGTTAATTCTAATAAAATAAGTACAACAAAATGATATTTAATGACTTCATATGCATTGAGTACTCTTGTACTCTTTCTTGAGAACGATATTTGAACTTTGTCACATTATATCACAAATAACAGATAAATATAGGAAACTATCGCCTCTTTCAATAACGCTACAGTTCATCCGAGAGAGAGTGTCATTATAGAATTGTTCCACGCATGTCCAAGCCAATGTATCTACAATGTAAAGAATATTACTGTAATAAACATAGCTTTTCGTCATATTTATTCTTTATTTGAACATTTCTAATAAAAATTATCCCGACAATACGGCCATTGAAGAGAAACCTAGTATGCCTTTATTATCTCCAACACAAAAAATAGCCTACCGAGAAGACGCGCTTGGAGACTGAAAACCAATACAGATTACAGGATTATGTATAAAAGATATTCCCTGGTCTAATCTTTTAGAAAAATAGCAATTACAATTTTATGAAAGTTCATTTCTTAATGTCGTTGATCTATTTTACAAGATTTCATAGAAATCAAGTAAGCAAGTCTAATGCTGTATGATAGAGCTTAGCAAAAACAGTTTTGTACATTCTTTGCTCTTCATGACTCTTTGATGAGTTAAGAATTCTTCCAAATTTTGGTGGGATTAATTAGGAGGATATTAGTTTGATTCTGAGGTGCTGGGGTGACGCTGATTGGCTGGTAGCTGGTGGGTGGCATAATGACAGCAGATCACATCAATGAACCGAGGAATGGGATTCAGGAAATATTACGCATTGATAAATACTTATAAGAGGTCTATTTTATGACAGTTTAATGATGGTGTACAATTAAGCCGATCCGTACATATAAGTCTGTACAACTAGGTTATGGATTTATGGGACTGGAGGTCCGCTTTACGATTAAGGTAATTTTGTTAATTGTTTTTAGATTTGTTTTAATTTTTAAGAAATGCACGATTACAATGGATGAATATGTATTGCAAACCTGCGATTATCTGGAAAATTAATAGATTCTTCGGTCTTAGTTTACAATTTATTACAAATTTATTCGTAAAATATTTTTAAAATACCATTACATAGTTTTACTAAGCCCTCTACTTATTTAAAGCATTAGTTAACTTCGTCCAAGATAAGCAATTTAATCTTAAAATGAATACCAATTGAAAAATTTTATAAAGATACACACACAGATCCCAAAATGTAAAAATGTGAGGTGATAACTTACATAAATATTGAGAATATTGAGACTAACAACCAACCAACCCTCTTCCAACTTACTTGCAATGCATGTATTCATTGGGAAAACTGTCTGTATAAAACTTGTATTAAGTATGGGTAAATGTCTTGGCTGATGGTATATGTTTTCATGTCTTTTGCAATAATTCTACACGCATTTCCTTTAACTGCATTACCATTAATGCAAAAGCTCCTGGCATTGGTGCCTTTTTGTTTAAAATTTCATTCCATAATTTGATTTGGTGTGAAGACCAATGATATGTGAACCTAGATTTTCTTAAGTGAGGATCTAGTCTACAGTAAAATAAAATGGGTGAAAAATGTCCTGTGAAATAAAAGTTTCCACTTTCATTCCAGTGGTTATGGATAAAGAATTTGAATGAGAATGATGTCTGAAATCGACAGATTTTAACGGAATGAAACGAGGAAAATGTTTTATTGTTAAGACAAATATCTTCCTTTTAATAAGTGAGAAAGCCTTAATACTAAATAATGCCAGGACACCAAATAAGATCTCGCATTTTAGCAGCTTCAATTAGGTGAAAATTCCATTTTCTTCCAGAGTGTGTGTGTGTGTGTGTGTGTGTGTGTGTGAGAGAGAGAGAGAGAGAGAGAGAGAGGAGGATATATGTTGTACATAATCAGTTCTTTGGCCAACAGACCTCTCCGTGATCGGAAGGTCGTGGGTTCAAACCCCGGCCGCGACATACCTAAGTCAGCAGCTGTTCCTTCGCCAATTGCTTGGCACTTTGAAGTGAAAGTTGCAGGTCTTTAAAACTGAGGCCATTAGCACGATAGAGAACCCTCTCTGCTCAATGGCCCTGAGTGCCGAGTAAAGGCCTTCACCGGTATATGGTGACTTCTCTGAGTGAAAAGTTCTAGAATGGGACGTTATAAAAAATACAATCAGTCCAACAAACCTAATGAACTACAGGCATGTTCATGAAACTGTCTCAGGAGTACGTTTTGTCCCAAGAACGTCTTAGGAAATGTCTTTGTCTTAAGTCAGTTTCTCGAAGCTTTTAACTTCTTCCTAACTACATAAACCTTGTCCTAAGATCATTCCAAGTTTGTTGTAATGTTTATGTTTTTGAATTGCAAGCATAAGCGAAAATTTCTTGTTCCTCACCAGTCCGTGTATATGAGAGCTGCTGATGATGATTTACAAAAAATAAACATTTTTTTCACAAATGTTACCTAAATTAGTTACAATGTTTGATTATTTACAGAAGATATCTATTTTTTCCGCCTCATCAAGGAGACCTAGATTTCGCACTTTAAAATTTCGAGTTTCTTTTCTTATTCATAAGGCAGGTACATAACACCCCTTTTCTAATTGGGGAAGGGGAGAAAATAGTTGTTTTAAAGGGTAGGGGACAGAAAAATGTAATTGACAAGCCAAAAAATAAAATTTCAGGAAAATATTTGACATTGAATATAGAAAAGTGTCCACTCACAGAAACCTTTGAAATTGGGGGATGGGTGGGGTGGGGGTGGGGGGGGGGAGGTTGTTTCGTCCATACTTCAACAGAAAGTGAATGTTGGGATGGACCGCTTTTTATTAAAAATCTTCCATTATAAATTAACAGCAATAGACTATTTTCGGAAAATACCCCCCCCCCCCCCATCTACTTGCATACTACGTGCTATGATGAGTCAATGAAACTATTTAAAAGAAGAAGAAAAAACAATCATACAGGTTTTATCTGTAAGGGAAAAAAGTGAAAATTGTTCTCAAAATTGTGAAAATAGTTTCTATGGCCTTAACATGAGTAAATCGGGGCAAATCATTTTTATTTAAATCAAATAAAATATTTAAACCGTTGAGAGTTCCTATACTCTGGAATAAAACATTGCCTTTAAAATAGTGATTTTTCTGTTTGAATACATGGTTTCGAGTTCTGCAAAATTCATTTAATTTTTTTTTCTATCAGATTATTTTTCAAAAAAAAAAAAATGATACAGACTTTTATAATACATAATATCATAATCATCGTCAAGGTAGAACACTGAATTTAAGAAGCTCTAAACACTGCACACTAGAGTACTATTTGTAGGAGAGTTTTATTGAGTTACAGTTATCTGCCCATAGAAGAAAAATAGAATAAGTGGGAATCTACAGTTAATGACACAATTTGTTATGAATTAAAGTATTCTTAATGTTATGTTAGACCAAGATTAAGTAATTGAATACATCATTTCCATTAATTTTCCCGATGTAAGTAAACTACAGTGATTTATGTTCACAGAGAGTTCACTGTCTTTGAACATTTTTCCTGCAGAAATAGGGCAGGTGCCCTATGTTGAAAATGAAGTACATACACTGAATATGTGTACCTTTATATGACTTATTTTTCTCAAAGTCCAAAAAGCATTTTTGATTAGTGTTTAGAGCTTCCTTAAATCTTTCATTTCGGTAGAAAAAATCGCTTGTTTTGATGCGATTTACATGCGGTATTAAAATATTTTATAATTTAAAAGATGCGAACATGAAAATATACTGAAGTCACATGTAAATGGATTTTTTTCATGTTATGTGAAAGATTTTTTGGCTACAAAAGTCTCTAAAATTTAACATGCATAGATAAATGTGAAAAAACACGAGTGTTCATTGTATGTTAGGATGTCTTAACTTAAGTTGTTCCTAAGTTACCGTCGAGCTACATTCTTATGATATATAATAAGTTGTTCTTGGATGTTCCTAACTTTCTTCCAAAGTCATATCTTATGAATAATTTTAGGATATATCTTAGAAAAGTTTTGTGAACATGTGTGCTGATCTCTTCGACCAAATTGGTGGAAGATTTGAAACTGCGAAAGAAACGAAGATGAAAAACGCGTAGAATTATATTTCCTGGGCGCTTAACAATAGGAGGAGCCAGTTTGATTCTTGTAATTTATGTTTTGTTTACAATTTTAAATAAGGCCCATTCTCATCTCAAAGGGTCCATTATTTTTTCAATATAAATTGACTTTCGCTTATTTTTGTTATTCTCTCTCTCTCTCAGTGAGTGTGTATGTGTATTTACCCTTATCATTATCGAATCTTAATATAATTGATACTATAGGCCAGTGTATGCTTGTCAGGTCGGAACAGATGGTATATGAGAACGTGCCCCCCCCCCCCCCCCCCCGTCCTCTTCAGTAATATATACCATAATAGCATAAATAATGATTATTGACAAACCTTCTCCTGCTACTTGTATATTTATATAAATTTGTCAAAGTGTGAAGCATGATTATTATAGGGAGTCACAGCATCAAGTAACACGTCCATGTTATATAATTTACGTCAAAGTAGGCGGACTAAAGCTGTATAGCATACGTGATTATAAAAAGACGGTTCTTATTTACGTCAAATGTATTATATATATATATATGAGGAATTAATTGAGTTATCGCCTAGCCTTTATGTCGTTTTGGATCAATTGACAGATATTAAGATATCGAGCCCTTTTAATGCTAGAAGACAAATTACAAGGTGTATTATAAAATATTTAAGCCATGAAGAAGAAATGGTTCAACTCATCTCATAAAAAATTCAACATCTACACACATAAGAAATTGATTGCTTATTTTACTGATAAAAAGACTAAATGCAAAATACATGTTTGTTCTTAGAAAGAGTATAGTGAATTATTCTGCTTGATATCAGCTGAAAAGTACACTTAACAGAAGCCGAAGAAAGCCAGATAGGTATTCCCTTTAAAGGAGGAGATTGGGGAGTGTAACATTCAGATGTCAAACCTATGGTCTACATAATGACAAAAAATGTACAGAACTGTCAATTACCTAATAAACGAATAAACTTATGTACGAGTTTAGACTTCTTCCAAACACCAGTGAACGAATAAATTACTATAAATGGAAAGGGTGCACGAATGAAATCATTGAGAAAACATGTTTAAACTCACCATTTAAATGTATAAATGTTTGCACCTCAAAGAAAATGCATTAAAAAAGTTCCATAAGAATTAACATGTTATGATTTACATGAAGCTGTCAGTGGAGTGTAAATAAAAATACTTCACACTTAAGGTTATAGTTTCCGAGTGCCTTATATCAGCAGTCTAGTTTAAAGTCATCATTTCGTAAGTTCTATGGTCGATACAATGACCTTGTCAGCAAATACAATTTATCATTGACTCAAATGCTGACTGACGTTTTTCATACTAATTGTTAGGCCATTATTTACACACTGAATTGTCGACGGATTTTCCCGTTATTTCCCGATCATGACAAGAAGCACACGGCGGGTGTGACCGGTCGGCAGGGGATGCTCACTCCTCCATGGCACCTGATCCCACCTCTGATGTTTTGGAGGTCCGTGTTTGCTCTGCACCTATTCTGTAATGTTTAATGGACTTTTGAGCTTGAATACTGTTCGTTATCTCCATATATTTCATGGAATCATCTGTGATCGAAGCTGATCACAAGTCCATGGGTGATCACAATGTATCCGTTGATTTGCTGTCGGATTATTTTTCTTTTAAAGTCACGGATGTTCACAAGTATCCGTTGATTTACTGTCGAATTTATTTTTATTTCATGACTTGTTAGACCATTCATACAAAGATTTGAGAGTGAGTATCTTTCGGTACAATTTGTTAAATTCTCTAAGACAAATTCTCCTAGACAGACGACGTGCTGAAGCAAACTTCGCCGAAAATAAAACATTTATCAGAGAAAACTAAAGTGAAAACCATATCCACATTTACATATTTATTTTTTTTATCAATTCGCTCAACATGCATGTGTTTTTATGGAATTTAATTGGAATATACGATGGCTTCAACTATGTTATGCCATTTTACGATGCTCAAAGGACATGCATGGCAAATAATTCCTAAGTAAGAGACGGAATTGCTTGAATAGTATTAGACACGGAGATATCACTTTCCAATTCTTTGACAACAAAGGGTTTGATATATATAAGCAAGGGAAGTGAATTTTCGGAGCTTTTTCTCTCTCTGAGCTCGGAAAGTCTATTTACAAAACTGATTCTGTATCTGCAGGATTTTATGGGTTTTTTATGATTCTGCGATAAATGGATTCAATGACCTTAAGAATTTTCTCCAATCTATTAACAAAATTCACAAATGCTTTCATTCTCCAGAAAAAAAATGATTTGTCACCTGATCCCACCTCCGATGTTTTTGAGGTCCTTGTTTGCTCTGCTCCTGATTTGTATTGTTTAAATGGACTTTTGAGCTTGAATACTGTTCGTTATCTCCATATATTTTATTGTACTATAATTTTAGAATCGGCAACAATTTAATTTTTGTTTTGTTTTATTGAACTCATTGGATCGCTAACTTCAGCCCTCAGCAAATTGTTTTTCTACCAAAAATGTGTTTTTGCAGCACAATTCTTTTGCAGATCAACACAAAGAATTCATCATAAAAACTCTTTATTGAAAATTATATGTGGGGTTTTTGAAATTTAAAATCTTCTCAGAAAATAAAGTTATATTGCTTTCGCCCCGAAATGACTCATTGTTTTCTCAATTAAATTGATTCCCTTATTCAAGACCCCTTAGAACCCCAAAAATATTTGATATGTAGTTTAATTTCAAACTTGGATGAGAAACTTCAGGATCACTGTACAACAACATATATGAGAAGTAGTGTTAATCAGGTGTGGATATGTAAAAACTCCTAGGAACTTTTGGAAAATGTGAAATCATAAATTTTTATCCAAATTAATAGCATCAAAACGTACGACTTTTTAACACTATGTTTATACAACCATTCCCAATCATAAATTAAAGTCCAGGCTTTTTGACATCATAGACAACTGCTTCCTCAATAAAAATGGAACTTGTAAATTTACTTACCTGGTCACTGGTCATCTGCATATTATTTTGTTAAAAACATTCTAATTATATACACAAATACTTCGAAATTGATACTAGTATTAAAATGATGCTTGAGTTTCTGATTGACAATATCTATGTAGTTTTTGGAGTCTTACAACAATCTGTTGGAATTCCCATGGGTACTAATTGCACCTCGTTATTACCAGATCTACTATTGCATTCATATGAAGCAGGTTTTATTTTACACCTTCTACATGAAAAGAAGAAATATTTTGTTTTGATCTTAAATTCGACACTGAGATATATCGACGACGATTTATTATTTCACAATATTCATTTTCATTCCCACTTGAATGGATATATCCCTCTGAACACATCTGTTTCAAATTTTGATATTTACTAGAGAAAGACATTAATGGCAAACTAACAACAAAACTTTATGATTAACGTGATGATTTCAACTTTTCTATCGTCAAATAAAGTAGCAATATACCATTATTACTTGCATATGGAGGTAATGTCTCTCAGTTGATTCTATATGCAAGAGCATGCTCTACATACGAACAAAATCTTAAACGAGGCAATTAAGTTGATGCATTGTCCATGTTAGCAAATACAATCTATCGTTAAGTCGAATGTTGACTGACGTTTTTCATACAAATTCTTAAGCCATTATTTTCACACTGAATTGATTAGGATTTTTTCGTTTGCCCGATCATGACAAGGATTATAAGGCGGATGTGACCGGTCGACAGGGATAGCTTACTCCTCCATGGCACCTGATCCATTTTTAATGAGTTTAGAGGTCCTTTTGCTTTCTTCCAAATTCACATCGTTCCAATGGATTACTGTTCGTTATCTTCATATCTAATGTAAAAGTCTTGCAACTGCTTGAATAATCAGTATTTTTAGATTTACAGAAAAACTTTAACATGATACTTCAGATGTTAATTGTTGGTCACATGTAGAATCCAAACACATGATTGCTGTATGTATCCACAAAAGCAACATCTTTGCGACTTTGGTCATGGATTGGCCTGATTTAGAATTGAATCTCTTTAAGAAACTTTACCTTCATTACTCTCGTCGATCACATTTATTACTGACTATCTAATGCAATATTATATACATGCAACTCTGGTTAATGCAGGACTGAACACTATAAATTATTTAACTTCAGTACTCAAATGAAAAACTCTTTATAATATTTATTTTAACAAACATTACCTATATAATCTTTCATTGGTCAAGTGGCTCTTAAAGATTTTAGATTTTAAAATTAACTCACAGTAAAATTGAACCCAGCTAAAATTCATTTTATAATACAAGCAGCATAAGTTCAGCGTATGCTTAACATATATTTAACATAAACAAGTTGATGAAACAAGGATATCAACAGTCTCGTTTGAAGTCATCATTTTGCAAGTTTTATGGTCGATACAATTATCTTAAATGTCAGCAAATGCAACCTATCAATTAAGTCAAATGACGACTGACGTTTTTCATACTTATTGTTAGGTAATTATTTACACACTGAATTTAAGTATTTTCCCAATCATGTCAAGGAGCACACGGCGGGTGTGACCAGGCAGGGGATGCCCACTCCTTCATGGCACCTGATTTTACTTCTGATGTTTTTGGAGGTCAGTCTTTGCTCTGCTCCAAATTTGAATTGTTTAAATGGACTTTGAGCTTGAATGCTGTTCGTTATCTCCATTTTTCACGAAACAATTTTTAATTGAAATATAAATAAATATAAATAAAGGTGATAAATATTTAACATACATATAAGAACATATGTACAACAAATATGTTGGCAAGGCTTTTCTTTCTTTTTTATGCACATGTACATCTGATTGATACGTTAAACACACATCATTTATGTTGCTGTTTTATTTTTCTTGGGCAAAACTCATTTGAAATAATTTTTATAAATAATTAAATAAATGTCATGAACATGCATGCGCTTTAATTTTTGGACTATTGAAAAAAATCTACAATCAAGGTATATAAAGATTCAAAGAAATTGCCACCTTTCTAGGAGAGAGAGAGAGAGATCTATTATAAAGTAATGATTTTTCCGACAAAGGCTACACTGGTATACAAAAAGGGAAGGAGAAAAAGTAGCCCAGTGTCATTTTTTTTTCACTTTTATTGATGTTGCGATAGAAACGAACAGAAGTTCTAGTTTTTCGGAGTCGGATTCCCATTGCTTCACTTTATAGTGTTTTCCCGTGTAACAGCTATAAAATATGACTAGACAAAACGCATTATTTGGAATAGGCCGTAGTCACGTATGGGATTTGTCGGTATAATGTTTTTTCTCTTGACCTTATCAACCGCAACCCCAGTCTTTATTTCTTCCCAGTCACGTGTAGGAATTGGCGGAGAATTGTTTTTTTCATGTACTTTACAACCGCAACCCCAGCTCTTTATTTCTTCATAAACAAGCAGTAGCCCTAGTCACGTGTGGGAATAGTTTTCTTCCATGACCTTTACAACTGCAACCCAAGTCTTCATTCCTTCACAAATAAGCAGTAGCCCTGGAAACATGTGGGAATTATTTTCTTCCATGACCTTTACAACTGCAACCCCAGTCTTCATTCCTTCACAAATAAGCAGTAGCCCTAGTCAATTGTGGGAATTATTTTCTTCCATGACCTTTACAACCGCAACCCCAGTCTTCATTCCTTCACACCGTTCACGGTAGCTCATATTTTTGTCCTGTTTTTCGTCTGAATTCTTACAGAATTTACGAGATTGATATCTGTTCATTACATTAACTTTTTTCATTCTTTCAAAACACTCTTTCTTTCCTATTTTGGTCTGATGCAGATTAAATTGAATTTTTTATTTGACTACATCAAGATAAGAATTACATTTATATATTTCGAAAAAAGGTGTTGCCATGGTTGCTATGATTACTTAAAATTAAGTATTCTGTCAAATTCTTTCAAAATACAACTTTTGCTAGGGTTTGGTTGTAATCATAGGAAATATTCAAGTGATTTTATTTATGAGAGTAAATCCAATACTGTTGTGTGTTAATTTTTGCTTTTATATGGTGTATGAGTTGTTTTATCCCTTTTTCTTGCAGAAGAATAATTTGATATGATCAGAAGGATACCAGAAATGTATGTATTGTAATTTTAGGAATTCTGTCTTGTAGTTTTAGGAATTCTGTCTTGTAATTTTAGGAATTCAGACGTATAGAAGAATGGTAAGGAAAAAAGACATTGTGAAAGTGTTTGTAATCTATCTATCTCTTTGCCACGTTTGTCCAGCTCATCCGTGCGGTGAGAACCCACTCCGCAGATTAATCAGCATATCAGTCAAAACAGGTACGTGTTTTCCAAACAATAGAATACCGGAAACTTCGAAGTCTAATGTCCATATAAGTCAAAACAAGTAGGGGTTCTCCAAACAATAGAGTACCGGAAACTTTGAAGTCTAATCAGCATATCAGTCAAAACAGGTTCGTTCTCTCCAAACAGTAGTTTACTGGAAACTCCAAAGTCTAATCAGTATATCAATCAAAACAGGTACGTATTCACCAAACAAAAGAATACCGGAAACTCGGAAGTCTATTCCAACCGGAAGGTTTCCACCAGGCAAAAGTCAGAAAAACATACTGACAAAAACTTGACACCATTCTATCTTTTCTTCATTCGTGTAAACCGTCATGGAAGCTCAGTCGGTAGAGCGCTCGATCCATGATCGGAAGGTGTGTTCGAATTTCGACCGCGACTACCTAAGTCGATAAAAAAAAAATAGGTAACAACTGTTCCTTCACCAAGCTCTCGGCACTTTGAAGTGAAATTTGCGGGTCCTTCGGATGAGACCTTAAAAACCGAGGCCCCGTGTCACGGTAGGCTTTGGAACGATAAAGAACCCTCACTGCTCAATGGCCCTGAGTGCCGAGTAAAGGTCTAAATTTACAGCCCTTCACCGGTAAATGGTTACGTCTCTTTATGAGTGAACAATTCTCGAACGGAACGTAAAACAACATACAATCAATCGGATTGATTCAATTACTCGAATCATATGCATGTACATATATCTGCACTTTCAAAAGAATCTTTACAATACTCGGCATTCAATGTTTACGATAGAGATTAGAATAATGACTTGATGTAAAATGTGTCAGTTTGTCGTGTATCAGGTGATAAATGACTAGATCCTGTCCCAATCAGGCTTACAATAATCTAACAGTGTGTCTTATACCCATAAATTTCACCAGGAATATGAAATCATCGGAAAAAGAATCTACCTCATTTTTTCAATAGTTAGTACACATCTTGGACGATGCTTCGGTAATAGGAATATGTCCAGAGCGGGACAAAATGATATTTGTCTTCATTAGCTACCAAGCAAGGCGTTATCATCTAATATTATAAATATATACAATCAAGGTGCGGAAGAAGGTGTCAGCTGTAGTTAACATTGTATATAATGGTAATATACCGTCTTCTTCGATTCAGAAAAAAATCACATTCAAAGAAATAAGAAAACGTGTTTGTTTTAAATTATGCCTCCAAGGACGACTACCAAGATACTTGAAACTTATCACGTGACCGATCAATTACTAAATTTACCTGATCGGTATTCAGGAAACAGAAATATCCATTAATTATCCTGAGTCTTTAACAATATATAAACGTTTATTATAGGTTTACGGCACATATATTCTGTTTCAATTCTAAGTTGGCTAGAATGACTTTCATCTTAAAGTTATCAAATTAACTAAAAATTAAAAAAAAAAGAAAAAAAAAAAAAAAGAAAAAAGAAAATTCATTATCATTTTTAAAGTGAGTTATTACTTCTATTTCTAATATTTTGAATGAGATGGTCTAATGATGGTGATCTGTACATAGAGCATAAAACATATTATTTAACCGTAAAGAGATTTTAAGAAATGCTGAAATTTCATTTTTAAGGTCATCCATTACGCTCCGTTCTTCTTGCTTTGAGGGAGATGAATGGCGTAATGTATAAAGAACTTCAGAATAACTTTCAACGGTATGCGGGCTGCATTGGAATCGTTGATACAGGTTACTTCAAACGTTCAGCTGCTTTAGTTTCACCTTACAAGCGCACACTTGACAACGACAATGGTCACATAGAGGGTTTAGATTTGTTTAAAACTTGGATCAAAAGGTGGGTATTTAACATTAATTATTACATATTCTTTTTCACGTACAAGATTTTGAACAAATTCTGCTTCATATGAATACAAAAATAGGCCTGCTAATAACGGGGCGCAATTGTTACCCATTGGAATTCCAATAGGTTGTTGGAAGACCTGGTCTCCAAAAACCACATAGATATTGTCAATCAGAAACTCAAGCATCTTTCCGATATCAACTTCATAGTACCTATGCAGCAATATACCTTATTACCTGCATACGGGGTTTATATCTCTCAGTTAATTCGATACGCCAGAGCATGCTCTACGTATGAACAATTACTAAAACGAAGTAAGTTATTGACAAACAAATTAATGAAGCAAGAATATCAGCAGTCTCGTTTAAAGTCATTTCGTAAGTTCTATGGTCGATACAATGACCTTGTCAGCAAATACAGTTTATCATTAAGTCAAATGCTGACTGACGTTTTTCATACTTATTGTTAGGCCATTATTTACACACTGAATTGTCTACGGATTTTTCCGTTATTTCCCGATCATTACAAGGAGCACACAGCGGGTGTGACCGGTCGGCAGGGGATGCTCACTACTCCATGGTACCTGATCCCACCTCTGCTACAAAATTTGTATTGTTAAATGGACTTTTGAGCTTGAATACTGTTCGTTATCTCCATACATTTCATTAGTACAGTTTATGTTGGGAATTACAGTTCGCAATTGATAATAATTGAAGAAGATAATGAACATTGATCAAATTCAAAAATCTAGTAAAGAATAGGAATCGTGCGCAGGGCAAAATCATGCACATTGGAAACTCCAGAAGTGGGGGATTAGATGTCCAGGAGGAATAAACATCCTCTCTCGGCCGGTTACACCGCCATTACCCCTTTTGTTTTGTACAGGTAAACGGAGTAGCCTTTAGTCTAATTGGAATATTAGTAAAACAATGGCTTAATTATTGGATGGAAACTTGTCAGTTAAAAACGACCCAACGATAGGTTGTTTTTGCGATAGAATTCGCAATATGCTGACTTTAGACGAGATAGTTAAAAACCCTGTAACATCATCTTATTTTTCAGTAGCATGTAAACTATTACTTGCAATTATAGTTTTCCATTGATAAAACTAGTTTGTATATAGGTAACCTATGTTGAGCTTATTTTATGAAATTGGCACGCCATAAATTCCTAATAAAATCGTTAATAGCGAATACGTTTGTAAATCCCTTTTAAAATTCGTCAATAGCTGACATAAATACTAAATCTTGACTTTTAAAGTACGGAATAGTGGACATATATATGAATTCCTTGGGTAAGTCCTCAATAGCGAACATGTATATGCATTCCTTGTATAACTCGTTAATGGTGAGTATGTATTATGAATTCTTTATAAATGAAATATATGGAGAAAACGAACAGTATTCAAGCTCAAAAGTCCATTTAACAATACAAATTTTGGAGCAGAGCAAACACGGACCTCTAAAACATCAGAGGTGGGATCAGGTGCCATGGAGGAGTGAACATCCTCTGCCGACCAGTCACGCCCGCCGTGTGCTCTTTGTCATCATCGGGAAATAACGGAAAAATCCGTCGACAATTCAGTGTGTAAATAATGGTCTAACAATTAGTATGAAAAACGTCAGTCAGCATTTGACTCAATGATAAATTGTATTTGTTGACAAGGTCATTGTATCGACCATAAAACTCATTAATACTGAATTCTGTATATGAATGTTGTATAACTCTTTGATAGTGAATACCTATATGCATTGCTTATACCGGTATAGCAAATATAAGACGGGTTTATAAACTTTAGGCTTAACGAAACGCTTTCGCATCCAGGGGTTTGCTTTAGTTGAAATGGTGGATAACAATAAAATGTAATATATCTTAATGCAGAATTTCTTACAACTCTCGGCAGTGGAAGTTCCATTTCTAACAGTTTCATGTCCACGATGTACATCCATATATATCACAGTAAACATGAAAATAAAGAAAGACGAATGGCATCATTTATTTTCAAAACGATAGGTTTAACGTCAACAACGAGGTTTTGACTAATTTTGATGAATCCGTCGACTAATTGAAAATAAAAAAGAACTGTAATCGATACAACATTATCAAGTTTCTGTATATTTATAGATACATAACACATATACAAGTTGTTTCAATATCTCGAGCTAATAAATATTATTCGTTCTGGAAGAAATATTCATTTACTGATATATTCGTTTTGTTCGTTTTCCATTTCTGACGATAAAGTGTCTGTCATAATGAAAAGTGAAGATAATGAACATTGATCATTCTATGAGCAAAGCTTATGCGAATCTACAAAAATAGAGATGGGATCAGGTGCTATGGAGGAGTATGCATCCCAGATGACTGATGAAACTGAAAAACAGCAAGTCTTTATTTATCATTAGAATTATTTTTCATCTATATTTCTATATCTAGTAATGAAACATGTAAAATGTGTACAAAACAATAGCATACCAATATAAAAAAGTGTCCAACGACCAGATTAGTCAAATGTTACTTTATCGCGGAAACTACTACCGGACAAAAGACATTGTACGTACATCCTTTAGATTTTCATCCCCCCCCCCCCCAAAAAAAAAAAAAAAACAAAATCGCTTTTCTCATGTCAATATAGTTTATGAAATCCAATCAATGCAAGAAAAGTCTGTCACATATAAAATCATAGACAGGACAAATACGGGATCAGAACAACTTGCCATCATGCCAGCTGTTGCGTGTAAACATTTGTAGTTTGCATAAGATTCATGCAAAAATTTATTTGTATTTTTAAATAAACGTTATTCGACTTCAAAATTTAATTCAATAAAACGTTTTAAAAAGTTACACAACGCAAAATTCCCAAAGTTAATCATGATTCGGAGCAATATTTCAAATGTGCAGATATAAAACATCGTCACGCGTAGTGAACGGATCATAACTATGCCACGTTTTTACCCATTTGCAAAAAAGCTATCCATGAAATGTATGGAGAAAACGAACAGTATTTAAGCTCAAAAGTCCATTAAACAATACAAATTTTGGAGCAGAGCAAACACGGACCTCTAAAACATCAGAGGTGGGATCAGGTGCCATGGAGGAGTGAGCATCCCCTGCCGACAGGTCACACCCGCCGTGTGCTCCTTGTAATGATCGGGAAATAACGGAAAAATCCGTAGACAATTCGGTGTGTAAATTAAGGCCTAACAATAAGTATGAAAAACATCAGTCAGCATTTGACTTAATGATAAATTGTATTTGCTGACAAGGCCATTGTATCGACCATAGAACTTACGAAATGACTGTTTTAAACGAGACTGTTGATAATCTTGCTTCATTAACTTGTTTGTCAATAACTTACCTCGCTTTAGAAATTGTTCATACGTAGAGCTTGCTCTTGCGTATCGAATCAACTGGGAGATATAAACCCCGTCCCGTATGCAGGTGATGAAGGTATATTGCTGCATAAACAGGAATGATAAGAAAGATAATCTGCAACTGTTTTGTTAATTTTGTTTGTTTTAAAGGCTTAAGCAACATCCATAGAACAAATCATTGAAACTTTTTTTGTGAATGTAAAAAAAAGTAGCTACAGATCTGTAGCTCGCTTTTCTCAAATTAGGATGGACGATTACAGAGCTACCGTGCCACCCATTGACAAAAGTGTATATTTATTGTGCACAAAAAGATGTTGTTTCCGTGTATCTAAATTTCCATCTCCAAATATTACTAACCGTGTCTTCTTAACATATTTATTTACTATTTCAAAAAAAAATCCCATAATCGTTGATAATAGTCCTCCTGGGTCTGAAATTAATAAAAAATTTCGCCTATTTTTACTGCCATTTTGAGTGGCAAAATAAGTCGGTCCAGCGCGCTTCGTGCAGATGTCCTGACAGTCCACTATAAAAGTAGTTGATGGAAGTCTAAGGAATATTTTTGAAATCGAGCTTTTGTGCAGTGGAGGTAAGTATTTAAAGGAATAAATCCAGAATCGAACAGAACTTTTTGTGTGCAATAAATATACTAATTTTTTTTTCTATGGTTTGGCCTGTGGCTCTCTGGTCAATCTTTTTTCGGAGAGCTACAGTTCTGTAGCTATAAAATATGTAGATCTTAGAAGTAATCTGATCCATCCCAAAGTCCATATAAAAAGCATTAAGAGATCATCGCGTGGTTTTAAGGGATGCCTGTGAAAGTTTAAATGTCTTGTTCCCCCTATACTTTTTGTATTGAAATTTTATACTCGCTCTTTAATTCTTCATTCGATCTTTTGCTTAACACCTTTATATGACTTCGGTCAATGAACAGTTATTAAAATATAATCTAAATAATGAAAACACTCTTCGATATTTGTCCAGTAGAAGTTTTCGCACGTGTCACAGCTAAACATAGCCTCCAGAGGCTCGTAACATAAAGCATGTTAAGATTTTGACTTGTGTAGGGAATATGTATGACTTAAGCGCTATTTTATAACCCTCCTAAGTCCTGTTTACGCACGTCTTTATTTCTAACATAAAGGCATGTTAATCTATACTGATAAATTAAGGAGTCACAATTTATTATATATTTCAATGTTGTTTAATCCCTTTCTCTCAGTAACTTTCAATTATGCGTCATTACCTGTGGACACTTTATTGAACAGGAAATATGCTTGAAACCATTTGGTGCATTATGTTTTGATGTATTTTTCTTTTCTTTTTTTTTATCATATCTTATGTCTTAAAAAATATGGAGATAACAAACAGTAATCAAGCTCAAATGTGCATTGGAACTACATAAATTTGGAGCAGAGCAAAAATGGTAATCTAAAAAAATCAAAGATGGCAGCAGAAGCAATGGAAGAGTGATCATCCCCTGCCGACCGGTCACGCCCGCCGTCTGCTCATTGTCATGATCAGACAAACGGAAAAAAATAGACAATTCAGTGTGTAAATAATGGCATAACAATAATTATGAAAAACGTCCGTCAGCATTTGACTTAATGATAGATTGTA